GTGCAAACTGCGGGTGCTGGATTTAAGGAACACAGGTGCCAACTTCTGGGACATGTGGCTTGGAGTCAGCGCCGAGAATTGCTCACCGATGGGACCAGTGACTGTGCACAGCTCCAGCCCCAACATGGAGCATCCCCTGGCTCCCTTGGAGGTGTTCCTAGACCTTGACTTCAATGAAAGGGACCGGGATGAGTTTTTCATGCACATCATCCAATGGGCCCAGAAGAGGGAACGGTTGCTACACCTGTGCTGCAAGGCACTGAGGATTTCTGGGGTGCCCTTCCAGAGGGTCAGGAGGGTCCTGGATAGGGTGCAGCTGGACTGCATCCAGGAGGTGGAAGTGAACTGCACCTGGGACCTGCCCACCCTGGGGACATTTGCTCTCTACCTGGGTCAGATGAGTAACCTGCAGAGACTCTTTCTCCCTTACATCGATGTGTTGGCTGAGGAGGATGAGGGGGAAGAAGACGAAGAGCAGGAGGAGGAGGGGGAGGAAGAAGAACAACAGGAAGAGGAGCAGGAGTTGAGGGAGGAAGAGGAGCAGGAGTGGGAGGAGGAAGAGGAGTTGGAGAGGGAGGAGCAGGAGTGGGAGGAGGAAGAGGAGCAGGAGTGGGAGGAAGCAGAGGAGCAGGCGGAAGGGGAGCAGGAGTGGGAAAGGCAGAAGCAGGAGGAGCAGCGGTCCTTTTCCCAATTCCTCTCTCAGATGCTCAGGCTGCGGCACCTCCAGGAGCTCCACATGCATTCTCCCTCCTTCCTCCGAGACCGTCTGGACCAAATGCTCAGGTGCCTGCAGACTCCCTTGGACCTACTCTGCCTAACATATTGCCAGCGGCTGACGCATTCAGACCTGACACACCTGTTCCAGTGCCCGAACCTCAGGCAGCTGAAGATCCTGGATCTATTTGGCATCAGCTTTGTGGATTTCAGTCCCGAACCCTCTGCTGGAGGCAGTGGCACCCACACTCCAGGGCCTGGGTCTGGATAAATGTGGGATGGCGGACTCCCAAGTCGAGGCCATCCTGCCTGCCCTGAGCCGCTGCGACCAGCTCAGGGTCTTCACC